AAACATACATGCACATGTTCATGTACATGTGCGCGCACACACACACGGACAGGTCCCAGTTAAATTCAAGTGAGCCCTTAGTGCAGCTGGCAAATCTACTACATTTCCCTAAGTCCATTCACAGTCACTGTTCTAGATGACTATTTTGTTCTGCCTCCTCTATCCTCAAGTATTTTACTTCCTCAGTCTTAGTTGAAGACTTTATTTCCTATTTTACTGAGGAAAAAGAAACAACTAGAAACTCTGCAAGCTCCAACTTTTAGGATCCATGCTTATATATTCAAACTTCCCAAACTTACTGTGGATAAACTTCCATGTCTCTAGTGAAGACCAACTCCACTTGTCACTTGGATGCCTTTTACATCTCACCTAACACATTCCTTTCTCTTCCATCAGCAATTTTTTTCTGTAATCCAACATTGCCATCGCAATACACGTTGTAATTTCTCCTACCTTAACAAAAAGTCATTGGACCATACATCCCTTTCTATTTCTTTGTTCCACTTCTCTGCTGCCCTTATGACAAACTCCTTGGAACAGTTGTCTACACATGCTGCTTCTAATTCTTTCCTTTCATTCTATACTGTAGTCAAACTTTTGCCCCCACCACTCTATTGAAACTATCCTTTTCAAGGTCACCCATGACCTATTTATTGTTAAATGCAACACTCAAATTTTCCTTTCACCAGGCACTATCTGGTAATTCCCTCCTCCTTGATATGCACTCATCACCTGACTTTCAGACTACCACACTCTTCTGGTTTTCCCTTCTATGGCTATCCTTCTCAGCCTACTTTTCTAGTTTCTGACTATGGCTGGGGAGGGTGCCTAAAGACTCAGACCTTCTTTCACAACATTCCACTCAGCTGTCCACTAGGCATGTCTAGTCAAAATATTCCAAATGGAATCCCTATTTCTTCCCATCCCAAATTTGCTCCGCCTATCTGAGGTAATGATACCCTCATTTTTCTAGGTATTCAAGGGAAAAACTATGCTATTGCCTTGATTCTTACACCCAACATCCAGTCTCTTAGCACTTTATTGGCTTTGCATTCAAGATATGTCTATGATTTCACTTTTTAATAATTTTTTTATTGGTGTTCAATTTGTCAACATACAGAATAACACCCAGTGCTCTTATTACCTCTACTGCTCTCACGTCTACCAGCCACCATCATCTCCTGCCTAACCGCTCTCTGTGCATTCATCCTTGTTCCCTTTAGCACCTATTCTTAAAGAATGTGGGTAGAATGGGGGTAGAATGTGGGTAGAGAAGCCAGGAATGTGCTGAAACATGAATGAGTCAGATATGTCACTCTTCTGCTCAAACTCTTCAAAGGCTTCCCATCCCATGCAGGGTATAATTCAGAGTTGTTACAATGACCAACAAGGCCCACCATGACTGGGTAGCCTAACACCTTTCTAATGTCATCTCCACTAATTCTTTCCCTAGCCACACTGGTATCCTTGGTGTTCCTTGAACATTTCAGTCAGCCTTCCACTTCAGTGCCTTTGCACTTGCTCTTCCTTCCATCCAGAATGCTTTTCCTCTGCTTCTCTGCATGACTCACTCCCTCACTTCCATTAGGTCTTTATCCAAATGCTAACTTCTCAATGAGGCCTTTCTTAACCATAATTGCACTTCCATCCCTGCAACTGGCTCTCCCTACTTTAGTTTCCTATATAGCATGTATTTACCTGATGATAGTGTGAGCAACCATCTTGGTTTGCTTGGGACTGACCCAGTTTTAGCGTTAAAAGTCCTACATCCTGAGAAACACCCCCTAGTCCCAGGCATACCAAGATAATTGGTCACCCTACTCATATACTATGTTTTACTCATCTATTGTTGGTATACTAACAATACAACAAAGTATTTCTCCATGAGAATAGGGATATTTGGCAGATTTGTTCATGATACCCAGTGTACATAGTTTAGTCCTCAACAAATGCTTATTTAATGAATGAATGGGAACCAATAAAGATTATATGTTAGGATCACCCAGTGCTTAGTATATAGTAAATTGCCAATAAATATATGTTGAAAGAATACATGAATGCATTCCCTATAAATGTAGGCATGATATACAAATGTAATTTTTAAAAAGATTTTTATTTATTTATTCATGAGAGAGACAGAGAGAGAGGCAGAGACATAGGCAGAGAGAAGAAGGTTCCATGCAGGGAGCCCGATGCAGGACTCGATCCCGGGACCCCGGGATCAGGCCCTGAGCCAAAGGCAAGACAAGATGCTTAACCGCTGAGCTACACAGGTGTCCCCAAATGTAATTTTAATTAGTATGTTAATTACTAAGAGGTTTGCAAATATAACCCTAATTAGCATGTTAATTTGCTAACTCTCCTTTATGGGTGCTGCTCATATTTTATTGTATTCATTACAAAAACTAATATATCCACACAGCATACAGTGTCATGCACAGCATCTATTAGACCCTCATTAATTTAGAGTTTACCTGCCTGGGGAACTGTGCATACTTTATCTACCCATGACGAGATAAAATTTCCCCCCAAACTCCTAATTGCTCAGGCAACATCCTGGCAGCACTCTGGGCCTGACTCCTCCCAGGAAGTTCTGTAGCCCCTCTTCGGGACTATGCTGATAGGAAAAGTTGGGCCATAATTTCTGCTCAGTTGCAATGACTGCAGATCTCAAATTTTTCAAAAGGGGGAAAAAAAACCCTAGCAAACTATTCTACTAAGAATAAAAAGCTTTCTGAGGTCCAATGGGGTATTTTCAAGAGGCACGGGTAGTTCTGGAAGGGACCTGAAGAGTAGGCAAGGGAAGGGGATGGGGACAAACATGTCCTATTCCCTCAGGGAGCTCAGCCCTTAACAACAAAATTGAGCGGCTGGGAGGCAATTAAGGAGAACACAAAGACTCCAGTGAAAAGCCTGTGAGGACAGGAGGAGGAGAGAACTGGGAGAGCTGGGGGAAGGGCGAGATGGTTTGTGTGCACATCTCCAGCGTGAATCAGCACCTGAGTTGGTCAGGCCTGAGTCTCTAAGGCCTCTTTCTTTCTTTCTTTCTTTCTTTCTTTCTTTCTTTCTTTCTTTCTTTCTTTCTTTCTTTCTTTCTTTCTTTCGATGTTAGAATTTATTTATTTTTATAAATTTATTTTTATTGGTGTTCAATTTGCCAACGTATAGAATAACACCCAGTGCTCATCCTGTCAAGTGTCTAAGGCCACTTTCTTAATGAAGGCAGCAGAGTGGTCAGAGGCCATCCTGCACTGTAACAAAAATCCTACTTCAGGAGTGCCTTTGGGCTTCAGGATCCTCTTTGGTGATCCAAGTATGTATCATCTAAGAGTGATTTCTGTTCTGGTCCTCTGGTCTTTTGTTACCTTCTTCACTCTAGTTCTCATCTTACACTACCACCACCTGAGCTAGACTGAAGAGTAAGATGACAAGACAAAGCACTCCAACCCGCTTAGCTGCTCCCCCAACCCCAAGGAAAGGCCCCCTTGTGGTAGAAGCCACTTACCTGCTCTCTTGTCTCAGGCTCTGCAGTACACTGGCATTACGTGGGGAGCTCTACACACACCTGACGCATGAGTTCCACCGCTAGAGATTCTGAAAGCTGGGCCTGTGGCTAGGATCCCAAACCCCCAAACATTGGGGTTTTTAAAAGCTCACTGGGTGATTTCAATGTGCAGCCAGGGTGAGAACCATGGCTTAAGATCCTGAGCTGTAGACAGATATTGTTTTGGATAAATATCCTGTGGATCATGTTACCTGTCTGCTGAGGCAGCCTGGAAGGCAACTTGCTGGGCTGCTGGATGAAAGAACAGGGGCAAATGTCCCAAGCCCCCAAGCCCTCATGTCATCAGTCCCAGGACATTTTGAGACTGTAGCCAGTTGCCAAAGTAAGTAAAGTATCGATTTTTAAAATGAGAACTTACCAAAATCACCTAAATTTGACTGACCAGAGTAATCAAAGTAAAATCCAGGGGTAATTATTGTCCTCTACTCCATTCTGTCAGTTGTTTGGGTCAAAGAATTGGGCTTTGAGATTACTATGGTATTTTATGAAATGATGTATGTAATCTTGGCTTAAAAGAAATCAATGTAGTTTCCAGAAATGCTTCAGTTGCTTCTGGGCAATAGTCTATGAATCTGGACAAAAAATTCTAACAAATAAGTAAAACCCTAGTTGGTTTCAGTTTGTGGGTAAAGCCCTGTCAGGGAATATAAAAACTCATGAATGAGACAGTGTTGGCATATAACCTTGTAAGATACTCGGTAAAGATAACTGAAAGTCTAGGGAAATGTGTTCTCTGAAATTCTCCATTTTCTATGCTCAATAAATAAGAAAACTAGTATTTCACAAAACTAGTTCTCTACAGTTGATGCCTATTTGGTTACCCCTGGATGAATTCAATCTGCTAAACTTATCCAAAAAAGATAAATCACTTTTTTAAATAGGCAATATTCCTAATTTATTTAAGATAACTCAGCTGAGACGTAGGCCCACAGTCATAAATAGACTAGGAGCATATGACTGGCATTTTTTTCTCCCGTTTACCCCTCTAGTGGTGCTCAGGAGTCTGCCATTAGAAGCACATTATCAAACTGGTACAGTTTCCTTTCTCTCAGGTGTTTTGTTTTGTTTGAACTGCTTACGTACAGAGATAAGATCAGATCTTAGGAGAGTAGAAAAGATAATACCTCTCTCTAAAGTATATTTTGTCAAACCCAAATCCTTTGGATTCTAAGTTTCCACACTCACTGCTCACAGAAATTTCAAATAGATTTCCAGAGTTCCTTATCCATGTACCTCTGGGTTTAGGCAAAGCCCAATTATTGCACTTGTCTTATAGGGTTAGATTTCTACCTGGGAATTGTTCATCTTCATTTAAGTAGTAAAAACACAGCTTTAGCAACAAAAGCATCAAGATACCAGAATAAGTTTGTTACTTAATAGGAAAAAACACAGCCTTGGTTTTAAAAAATATGTCTCTGATTATTAACAGACTCACTTGCTAATAATGAGTGTTTCCTCTCCACATATCCAGACTCTCATGAATTCTCCGTACATCTTGTTGTAGTAGTTGCAAGCACTGCCAATCCCCATCCATAGGAACCTGCATTGGGAAATTAGGGGCCCAATTCCCATACAATAGCCAGGACCTAGGAGAGATATCAGATCACAGTCAGCATTTTAGCAAACACCAAAGAAGAACAAGTGCTTTATGTTATTGCTGTTTGTGTTTTTATATATCTAAAAGTTCTTTTACATCTTCTGATGTGTATTTGTGAATCACTAGAAAACAAACAAGCTTAACATGAAAAAACAGTAGTTCAGTGTCCATACCACACTACTTCCATTTGGTCTTGATCATTTCAGTCTGTTTGAACCAGGGTATGTGTCAACTATTTTCTTGCCATATTAAACAGTGTCAGTGAGTTTTAAACACAAGTCGATCAGTCCCTCTAGTTACAAGCATGGAAACCAGGACATGTGACAAGCTGATCTGTTCGGCTGCCTAGTTATGTCTGAAAACTTTTGGTTTGAATGCCTCAGCTGATGGAATTGGTGGGTTAAAATTAGGTTGTAGTTTTGGTGTAATCTTTTTAACTGAGGGACATGGTCTGCAAAGATAATGTCCAAATAAAGAATATCCATTTCTTTTTTTTCCTTCAAAAAGGACTGACTCCGTTTAAGAAAAGAATCCTAAACTAAATCTCATTAGTCAAAAAAATACAGCTAAGCATTGAGGAATTAGGCAATGAGTCTGATCAGTGTCTAAACTAGAATTTGGGTCCAGTGATGTGGTTTTACTCAAGAGCAGTTACCACTCTTGCTTACGTAAAAAAAAAAAAAAAAAAAAAAAAGAGGAATTTGCAATTACTTAGGCCAGAGAACAAACTTAGTAGCTTGATTTTACTGATGGTGGTAAAAAGTTAGACAAAAACTTCTTGGAATGGTTTTAGGAGTTTTCCTGTGAAAACTAAATTTCTAAATTAAATCTTTCTCCTCTAATTCCATTCCAGCAGTAAAATAGGAAGCCAACATGCACAACTGTATGAGACAGTATTCTCACTCCAGCATTTGTGTAAATAAATCTAGATAATCTAAGATTTTTCTTAAATCATCTAAATTGGATGTTAAGTCCCAAATTCGGCAAATAAGATTTAGTCTTTAACTTTGCAATAGCTGGATTAATGGGAATAAGACTGTTTCTTTGTTTTGTTTTGTTTTTCCCCTTAAAGTGAAGGTCTTTGGTAAGATCTGTAGAACCAAAACATTTTGAGAGGGTTCTTCCTTAATCTTCTGATTGTTGCAGTAACACTGTATGGTAAATAGATGACTGACTTTATGTTAAATAATTTCATTAAGTTCTTCAAAAGATTAAAACAAGCAAATTTGAATACGTTTTTCCTTAAAAGGTCATCAGATATACAGATCTCTAACATACGCATAGTAACAAACTACTTTGCTGAGTCTTTACAGCATAAAACGTTGTGGATGCTTAATAAAGGCTTCCTGGTGAATTTTTTAAATTAACTAGATATGTGTGCATAATAAAGGATGAAGTCTTAAATATCATCCTCATTTAGAGTATTTTGGGTTGTATTTACATTTTGATAAAATGGAAAAACATTGTTTCATGTACGTTTAGTCCATAGGAGATCAGACACCCAGCTATTTGGGAATAGACTCATTCAACAAAGGTTTACTTCCTTAATATCCTAGGCCCATGAGGATCAAAGACATACAAATGAAAGGCTACACTCTTTGTTTTTTTATCTAACAGTTTGGTGCCATGTAGAGAGTCTTAATTTTAGGGAATCACCATTCAGTTTTGAAACATGACAGTGCATAACTCTATCCACTGAGAAAGGGAGATGATGATGTACTTTTCTCAGGTTGAAAACCTGAATGTTCTAACCAGAAGGGAATTCAAGTCTAGTGTTTCTAGTGATGAATCGTGTGACAGCTTACTTCATTCAGCAAACACTTACCGAGACCCTACTAGGTATAGATAGACACTAGCTACACATCAGAGACTGGAGATGGTATGATAAGCATAACTAGGTTCCCATCAGAGTCCTGTCAGGAGAGGAGAGTATGTGCAGAGAAAGCACAGTATCGAATAATTACAACACAATGTGATCCTTTGATTTACATATGTATCTTATATCGTACAGATGAGAAGCTGAGAAAAGAATACTCTAGGAGGGGAGAAATTTTGGTAGGATATTAGGGAAATATTCTGGTTGCATCCACATTAAGCTGCTCCCTGCTTCTCAGATTTGGGAATGATGACCTGGGCATGTACTAATTGCGGGAGCCTCTTTCACACCCTAAGAGGAGCAATAAATACTACACTGCATTTTTGTGCAGAAGCAGCCTCTGGGAAGCAAACATCTGGGATCTCTCACCCACTGCCCTAATCAAGAAGCTGCTGCATTCCTTGCTAGGTGTACACCCTAGAGAAACCTGTGCACATAAAGGGTCTTAGCAGCACTGTTCACAATAGTCCTAAACTGGAGACGACCAAATGTCCACCAACAGCATCAGTAATTAAACCACGAGATGTTTGAGCTACTGCATACCATATGAACTATAGAGGCATGTCATAACATGGATGAATCTTACCGACATAATATTGAGCAAGAGAAGCCCTATAGAAGAAGTAATTAAGGACTCTGATAGCTAAAACATTTAAAACCAGGCAAAATTAATCTGTATTGTTTGGGGATATGAAATTATATGCAAAGCTATAAAAAGCAAGGGAATGATTATCACAAAATAGAAGAATGTCTACCTCTGGAGGTGAGAGAGGGGTATGACTAAAAAGGCACAAGGGAAGTTTCCGGATGCTGTTTACCATCCTGTTTCTTGTCCTGGACTGTGATGACATTTAACTGTGTACTTTTCTGTGAAGTTATTTTTCAGTAGGAGAAGGGGGAATGTGTTGCCATGTCCTTTTCCCAGTGATCCCCTCTGGGGACATGGTGCCCAGGGCAGAGAGAGGCTCTGGGGGAGTGAACCCATGTGCAAGGTTGGGGATGGCTATGTGTCCTTGAGGAAAGGAGAGCTGCCAGGGGCTAAGTAGTTGGTAACTGTGGGTCCTGGATAGACATCAGTGAACATGGGGCAATTTCCCACAACTGACACTTACAAAACTCCAAGGTAGGAATGACTCTGTCCTCCCCTAGACTCCTATATCTCTCCCTGGCACTAAGTCATCTGCCTATGGGTGTCACCTGCGCATACTCCTCAGCCCTGTATATAGCAGGGCCCTTCAGGGAATATAGGACAAGAAACTTAGCTCTGAGTCCCAATTTTATCACTTACTAGCTGTGCACCATCTCCCCTCTTTCATCTCAGTTTCTTCATCTGCAAAATAGGCATAAACAACACCTACCTCACCAGAGTCCTGGAAAGGTCACAAGAGAAAAATGAACGTGAAACTGCTTTATAAATTGTAACTAACTTAAGAACTTTTAAATCATTATACCTTCTTAATTCCCTTTGGCTTTTTTCCCTGACCCTGAGTTTCTTCCAAACCAAGAACCCGGACAACCAGTGATTTGAGGAAACCAACAAAAGGAGTACAGAAGTATTGGTCAGGAAGAACCAACCCAACAAACCCAGTTTCCTCACCTTTCCTTCCCCACAGGCACCATGGGACCTTAGTCTGTGCCATGAGAGGATTCTGACCAGAGCTCACATTTTCAACAGGAAAGCATGGAAGAAGCTCCCTGGCTAGCAAAATGACCACCACTCTGGGATTTAGGAATTCCTGGTTGGCCCCTTGCCTCCATTCCCACTTCCTTTCAGGCTGAGGTGCTGACAAGCCATTTCCTTTCTCTGGGCTTTCACCCCTCACTTGTAAAATGAAAAGTTTGAACTGCATGGTTTCCTATATTTGTTATAATGGTTTGCTTCGATAAGGCAGTTCACCTCTCTGGGGCTCAATTTCCCCTTCTGTCAAATGAAGGGTTGAGGCTCATTATCTATGGCTCTCAGGCCTGACTGCTCATGAAAAATCACCTGGGAAGATTGATTGATTTTTAGTGGGGGTAGGGCAGAAGGGAGAGGGAGAAAGAGAATCCTCAGCAGGCTCTATGCCCAGCACAGAGCCCAGTGCAGACTTGATCTCACAACTCCAAGATCATGAACTGAGCCAAAATCAAGCATCAGATGTTCAACTGACTGAGCCACCCAGGCACCCCAGATTTTTTAAAAATATAAACATGCAGACCCCGCTCCAGACATGACTGATAACCATAGTACTATTAGTGTGTGACAGCACAATGTCCCCAGCCCAGGAATGGTGGACAGAGTGATCTGACCTGGGCTCCTGATCCAGAGCTTCAGGGATGCAGGTTCTCATGCTTGCCCCCTATAGGCTGACCTCCTTCTTCAAAGGTCTGAAGGCCTTATTCTAACACTTGCAACATAAACATCTGAGGAGACTTGTTAAAAAAAAAAAAAAATACTCTCCACCTCACCCTCCATTCATGGATCCTGACCTGGGAGCCCACTGTGGGAGAAGAAATCTGGTGAGGAAGGGGCAGTAGTGGGAAAGGAGTTAAAGTTAAAGGCCATGAAATAGTCTTCCCTCAGACCCCTCAGGGAGGAGATAACAACATTAACCAAATGCTCTATTTAATTGGACATTAAAGCAACCCAAAATACCAGGCCGAATCAGATAGATAGGCAGACAGTTCTCTGGAAAATTTGGAAGAATCCAGACACAGGGGACTTTGCACCAGCTTCAAACTCCTACCCTAAATCACTCTATGATGAGACCCACTGCACTTGGAAGTGTATGACTATGCTCTTGAAGCAAAGCCTTATTGGATTTCTAATGGGCCTGGGGATATATACTACCATGAAGAATTTTCACTGAAAACTAAAGAAATAGTTGAATATTTCTGATAATTCTGAATTAATCTGTGTGGAGGGGTGGGGGTTTCCATTGGAATTATCTAGATAATTATACTCTCTTTTTGGTTAATCCACAGACCTTGTTGAAGATTCTATCAGGGTATGATGTTCCAAGGGAACCACAGTGGTCTCCATTTTTCCTCCAATTCCCAGGTCCCAGCCAGCCCTTACAGTGGCACCACCATCACACCTACCCCCAAGAATAAGAGAAAATGAAGAGTGGGATAATGAGAGGAAATAAGGTCAAGAAAGGGAGAGGGCAGAGCACATGGATGAGGCAAAGCAGAAGGGAGAAGGAGAGGAGTATAGAATGCAGGGGTGCCTGACTGGCTCAGTTGATGGAATGTGTCATTCTTGATCTTGGGGTTCTGAGCTCAACCTCCACATTGGATGTAGACATTACTTAAAAATAAAACTATTTTTTTTAAAAGAAGGCATCCCAGAGACATTTTTACCCTCAGAGCAACATTGGAATGAATTTGAATCAAAAAAAAAAAAAAAAAAAGCCTGGTTTACCTTGCTTCACCCCATCTCAAACTCACTTTAAAGATACTTGTGCCAAGTCCACTTTACCAAAGCAAAGCACAGACTGGAAGGAATTATCTAAGATCTTTTTTGAAATACTTTCATTTGAAATGTGCAGATAATTGGTATAAAATTTTTCACCTGAGTTTTTATTTGCTCACATTGCCATGGGCTTCGGTCATCTCCTCATGTTTGCTCCTTGTCCTTTTGCAAAATGGTCTTTACGCTCATGGACCAAAAACCCAAGTAAACAATCTCCTTAATTACATAGCTAAATGACTGACTTACCTGGTATTGAGGATGTGTCTTCATAATTCCAAACCAAAAGAAGAAAACCTGTGAGCAGCAGGATTGGCATGGTGGCCACAGGCATGACTTCAGGCATCATGCTGGTGATGTTGTAATGCATTGGGTTCAGCATTTCCAACACCATTGTTTTGTTCTTTGATCTTAGGAGAAACAACTTAAAGTCCTGTAGAAATCAGAGGAGCAAAGAAATTAGAGAATCCCTCTAAGGGAACAATTAGGACTCCCGTTGCTTTAGAGGATGCTGTAGTACAGAAATTAGCATGTGTTTTATGTGATTGGACACCTAGACAAGACAAAGTTGTGGTCACAAGTCAAAACAAGCAAGCTAAAGGGAGATCTTTTGGCTTCAAGTGCAGCATTTCTGACCTTGGTAGAATCTCAGGTTCGTTTCGACGCTTGGTCTGATAGAACCTTATCGTCTTGCCCTTGAGTGACTGAATTCCCAATTGAGAGTCATATTTCTTACCAAAATATAAGAAAATGAAGCTCATTCCAGAGTTGGAGCCATTCTGTGACTTCATCAACAGATAGTGCTTTTTCTCTTGAAGCCAAATCAATTTTTTTAAAAAAGTAATCCCCAACCCCCTTCCTTGCTCAAAATTACTGCCCCCCCCCCAAAGAGTAAGCTTCTCCAGCGAGAATAGTTGCCTGGGCATTGTCGAGGTATCCTCAGAGCCTCCCATTAGGTTGCTGAATCCAGCGTGGCTCACTCAGAACGATCTTTCTCTATTGGCTTTTAATAAGGCTTAAAATCTCTTGCACTGCAGGTTGGATTAAGCAGTGCCCATGGAGGCCAATGTCAGAGGCAGTAGGAGAGAAGAATGAGAGAGAGAGAATAAAGGGAGAGGAGAAAGAGGAGGAAGGAAAGAAAGGACAGGAAGAGTAGAATTCCACCAGCAATATGCTCAGGTGCCACTCATGCTTTGCTCCCCAGCAGCCAATCTCCTGTGCAAGAGTTTTCAGTTTGATTTGCTGGTTCCGCTGTGTTGCTGAATAACGTAGTGTAAGACCAATACTCACAGAGGAGAGTTTCAGGGATGGTGGTTTGTTGAAGAGACCTAGACTGAATATACTTGCATAGCAAGGGAAGAGCGACCATTCAGTGCAGTTCTGGTGCCAGGTGACTGTTCTGAGGATTAGCCTCCCTTGGAAAGGTGACCTTTCATTTGTAGGACTTGTAATTGTTCTGAAACAGATGTTTGGCAGGATTTTATCTAGAAATAGTTCTAGATGCTTAACCAGGGCCTCTAATTAGTTTTGGGGTGCTCTGTGAACTCCCTGAAATGCTGCATAAAGTTGTATCTGCGCACCTGCACTTCTAGAGGGAAAGAACTCTCATTAGAGTCTTAAAGAGTATGGAATTACATTTCTCTGTGATCTACATGAGATCTTAAATATCCAGTTAAAAACCCATTTCTGGCAATTAGAGAAATGTTGTAATACAGTTGAATTTATTCAGTTGCTTGGTTCACATTATTGATTCATCCTATTGCACCATTTAAATAATCATTAACAGTTCAGTGCAAGGCATTGAAAATGACTGCATACATGGCAGGCAGTTTGTTTTTCAGAAATATGTATAAGATAAGTCTGAAGAGTCAGCGATGTGTCTGTTATCATCTGGTTCCTTTATTGATAAGAAGCTGCTTTGAACAGATTGAATTTTAGATATTAACTTTCCAATGTGGAATTTTACATCATTTTAAATAAACTCCCTGTGACTTTTTAACAGCCAGCATCCTCAAGGTCTCTTCTGATATTGACAAAACCTGAAGCCAATGTTAAAAGCATAAGTGAAGAAGGTGATGGAAACAAAAAGGAGGAAGATGTCCCAGAGGAAGTGATCCTAGCAGAAAACTTCACGTTAGAGAAGCTCTCAGAAAAAAAAAAAAAAAAAGAAAGAAAAAAAACCAAACCTCTGATATTTCACAGCACTAAAATCACAAAGGATTAAAATCTTGGGAGCTGATGCAATTTATAAAGGAGTATAACAATTCACCGAGGCATAGAAATGATGCTCCCTCCATAAGTCATACAAAGAGGAGATGGCAACGAGAAATGTTTACTCTATTTTTAACAAAGCACTTTTTAAGAATTGCAGTATTTCTAATGTTTAAATTACAATTTATTATGACTGGTCTTAATATTTTTTTCATTTCCGTATACACTCAAAACCTGTAGTTAGAGAGTTTGTAATGCCTCAACAAAAAGTTTAAAGGTTGTGGAACACTTGTATTTTTTCTATTTTTCTATAGATCTTATTTATTTGAGTGAGAGTGAGAGAGCACAAGCAGGAGGAGGGGCAAAAGGAGAAGGAGGAGACTCCTTGCTGAGCAGGGAGCTGGATGTGGGGGTCTATCCCAGGATCTGGGATCATGACCTGAGCCTACGGCAGATGTTTAACTGAGCCACCCAGGTGCCCTTTTCTCTCAATTTTTAGTTTTACTTTGCATGGTCATTGTTACGTCTTGTACTACTGTGTAAAGCAAAGTCTGCCTGTATGTCTAAACGTTTAATAGGGTTTAGAAGCCTAGTTACTCGTCTTTCTCAGAAGTATGTCCTAAAGATGCTCCAGAGAGTATGAGAATTTTTTTTTAACACTTACAAAGCATTTACTATGTGTCAGATGTTGTTCCAAGTGCTTTATAAATACTAAGCCATTCATCCTCACAACAACCCCAAGTGAAGTAAGATGGTCCTCATTTTACAGTTGAGGAAATGGAAGGGTGATATATAGGGCACCCGGCTTGTTCGGTGCAGAGCTGGGATTAGAGTCCATGTAGTCTGTCTCTGGAGCCCATGCTCTTTCGGTTTTCAAGTTTTTATTTAAATTCCAGGGATGCCTGGGTGGCTCAGCAGTTGAGCATCTGCCTTTGGCTCAGGGTGTGATCCCAGGTCCAGCATTGAGTCCTGCATCGGGCCCGTGCCTGGAGCCTGCTTCTCCCTCTGCCTGTGTCTCTGCCTCTGTGTCTCTCATGAATAAATAAAATCTTTTTAAAAAAGTAAATTCCAGTTAACATACAATGTAATATTAGTTGTAGGTGTAGGATCTAGTGATTCATCACTCACGTACAACCCCCACTGCAGAGCCCATGCTCTTAATCGTGCTGTTTTGATGCCTATTTTGGGATTTATTTGGTCTCTACATTCAGGGACTTTTCAATCCTAAACTAATTATGTTTGTTTCTAAGCTACTCAGAAAGTCTTCCTTTAAAGGAGCAAGCTTTTCAGACCTCTGAATAAATACCACAGCTGGAAAGGTCTTTTCAAATTCTTTCTTCCTTGCACATTGTTTTTCCGTTCAGTAGAACATTCAGAACCAACAGGTTGGTTGAACAGGTTGAGTGGTGGTATAGGAATATAGGAAGGGCCTAGAACTTCATAGGGGTTGCTTATATATCCTCTGTGCCAAGAATACCCACCCCACACCCCCAAACATACATGCACATACACATAGCCCTCAAGTGCCACGTTCCTTCAAATGTCATCCCAAGTACTTGGGTCTCTAGGCATTCGTTTGCTGAGCAGTCTCTACTCTTCACTCACTGGGCATCCCACACTGGGCCTGGTACCGAACAGGGGCTTTGGCATTCTGTTCCTGTGCTGTGTGAAACCACAGCTATCCTAACACCTTCACTTACTTGACCCTCTGCAGGGTGGGGAAGCAGGCCTTAGCCTTGCAGGAGTGCTGCTCAGTCTGGCCAGAGCCTACCCAATCCTACCTTGCAGCATGGGAGCAACCTGTCCAGAGGACCCAGCCATTCTGGGTTTGAGGGCCAGGTACCAAGCCTGCACTTCCTCTCACTCTCTTCAGTACACCCGGTCTGACCCTCTTTCACATCCCTACTTGCAGAGAAACGTGACCCGTGACCCGGCTACCTTGGTTCTCCCTGTTAAGTCCCTTACAGAATTAAGTGAGGCACTCATTCTTAAAACTTCTCTCCTTTTGTTACTTCTCCTTCTAGAAGGTGAGTTCTCCAAGGCCAAAAATCTGTGCCTGTCTCCTTCACAACTATATCCCACTCCCAGAATAGTATCCTGGACTTTACTTTGTATACGCTCACTACAAGCCTGTTGCCTGGGTTTACAGTTTCCACATTCATTCAGATTTTACTCCCCATTGCAACCTCCCCAGGACACTTTTTCTCAGATCCTCCCTTTCAGTATGTCCTACACACTGTTGCCAGACTGTTTTTCATTTCATTTTTCATGACATCAGTTCCTTACTAAACTTTTCCTTGCTTCTAGTTGATTGCAATGTTTCCAAATTCATCCTCATTCAGACTTATTTCTTGGCTCTCTGCACCAACATTCTGACTCCTCTTTGACCTATAGCCATCATACCTGAGAACTCTCCCTCATGCCTCCCTCACGTCTCCCCAGCTTGGTTGGTTCTGCCCCGCAGGCCTCCGAGGAAAGGTTTGCTTCCTCCTCTCGCATCTCTGAGCCATCTCTTACTTGATATAAACACCCCTCCTCCTTTCTTTGACATACGTTCTGGGACACTCTTGCTTTTGACTGCCAAGTCACTCTATAACTCGAGTCATAATTGGTTTCATTAAACAAACATTTATTAAGGATCTTGTCTGAGCAAGGTGTTACATTTGGTCATGAGAAGCATAAGTTCCAAGGAAGGTGCTGTTAAGCCAGGGCATGGTATGAGGACCATAGGTCTCTAGGATGATAGGCAGAGGTGCCCATGAACTTCTACATCAAGGGAACACAGCTGGAAAGAAACTCTGAGATCCTCCAAGAGTACAGTTCTCTTCCTTGAAAAATGAACCAACCTCATGAGGTCCAGGGAAGTAGAGCTACTGGTCAGTGGTCCCTTACAAGTGGGGAAGGTTTACCCATGTACACATTTTGCAATCTGATTTCCATGATGCCCTCCTGCTGGGTTCATGACATTGCAGTTTCTAGTCATTCTTCCCAGCAAGCTTCCAAGTAAGTCCCTGCGAATTTTTTTGTTCTGGAGCAGGAGAGATAATAGGAACCAACAAGGGAAACCTGGAAGGATAAACATTGTGTGGTTGGCCTGGGCAACCTTTTAGGGACCACTGGCAAGACTTCAACCACTAGCATTTCCAACCATAAAGGGAAGACTATTGATAGTGCATGAGAGGCAAGTTTCCCTCTCTAGTAAATGTATTGCTGCCAAAACCA